ACACAGTAATAGTTTTTCATATTTCCCTTCTGGCAAACAATAGTATGTTTGTTCTGCAGAGTATGTTAATGTGTAAAAGATATGTAAGTCCCAAGTAGGTGTTTAAATTATGGGTGTGAACAAATGGCAGATAGACTTAAAAAAATGGGGCAGGGGGGAGGGGAAAGAAAAAAGAAAAAAAAAACCAACAAACTTCTTCAGGGAGTTACCTTTTATTTTTATAATTCTTTATGCAGACCCTTGCTTACACAGTTCTTTCTTTTGAAATTGTTTTGGGTATGTATGTTGAGTTAGTGTAGCATCAGTTTCAGGTGTCTGTATTTTTGAGGGAAGAGGAGAGAGAATGATCTGAGGTCTACTCAGGTAAAAATGGTTAAAATTCTTATAAATACACACACATGCTTCATGGTTTTTGGCCATTTGTGAATCGTGGAGCGAAGACTCATGCGTGAGCTGGGGTATGGAGGTGTTAGGTTGTGCTGTAAACTAGACCCCTGAATACATATGGGTCAAAATAATCTTCTTGTTTCAGATGTTTGAGGGAATACCAGTCTTGCTTTGATTTTTGCACTTTTCTTTGTCTAAACTTTGCTCAACCCCACTTGCTACCTGTCCATCCAAATAACTATTGCTGTTTTGTAATGCCTTTTGTTGGCACCAACTTTGAAATCATTTGATAGAAGAGATAATAATAAAGGAGGTATTATTACTAAGGAAGTATAGCACACCTCGTCCTGTTGCCAGTTTCATTTGACCTTGCCACTGGAGTCTGTAGTCATAACTTGTAATTGATATCAACAATGATCTTAAGAACTATGTGAGAGGAAGTTCTCATTCCCAGTAAGTTCAGGACAGGTCAAAAGCAGGCTAGTTTTGCTGTTTTCTAGGAAATTTTATGCCAAATACCAATTGCTGAATTGGTATAAGTGGTCCATCTTGGTGAAAGCCATGAGGTATAACAGTGCAAGAAGTTTTACTCAATATATAACCAACGAACATTGTTTCTTGGAATGTTGATTGTAACATGAAAATGATGAGAATAGGCAACTGTAATCTTAAAAATCCTTCAATGAGTGAGTGTTCATGTCCAGGAGCTGATTAGGATTTCACAAGTTCAAAAAAACTATAGAGCACTTAAGAAGAGAAAATTAACAAAAAGAGAAAATGAATAAAAAGAGAAAATTAATTCAGAAATCTCTTAAAGCAAAAACAGTAGTTATAGATCTGGAACTGGTTAATCACTGGTGTTTGTTTCAGACGTGGGAAAATAATGGTAATACCAGCACATATATACAAAGATGAAATCAAAGATTAGTTTTACACTTACTTGTAAACAGATTGTGCTCATAAGCTTCAATATCTGCTAAAAATATTGGATTTTAAAGTTGATACTATGGGGACGACTATAGGCAAGCCTGGCACTAGACACTATCAAAAAAATGCAATAGTGGTAAAACTGTGCCTGATATCCAGGTTTGTTATTTCTGGAACAACATTCTTTCTCAAAACTGTTCATGTAACTTGAAATTATCTAGACAATTAAAAAAAAATCAGATTATCTATTTGTGAAATATTTAATAAAGAGATTCTTATGTGGGAAGGGTATACTTCCTTAAGTTATTGGAAAGATTTCAGAATTGTTGCAAAATCATTACTCTTTTCTACAAGGAATGAGGTGAAGTTAAATTCCATTTATCATCTTCTTATTTCCAATATAGTACAAAAGAGAAGATGCACATACTTGAGATGTGCTCTAAGAAGGAATCGGGCTCTCTGTCATGACAAGCATGATATTGGACATGCAGCAGAGCACTTTGGCAGTCCAGCCAGAAAAGTCTCTCCAAATGCTGTTAGGAGAGAGAATTTAAGGAATTTAATGACATAAGATATGCAAAAGAGCAGCCTGGGGTATATAAGAAGCAGTAAACCCTCATTTATACTCTGAAATGTTTAAAGAGCAAGAAGTATACAACTGGATTAATTTTTTTTTAAATTAGGAATTGAAAAGACTTACGTAAAAGAGTGATTATTGTTGCAGCCTAACTGCAGTAATATAAGTGTGTGTTGTAAAAGCACGTAATTGAAAATATACTCAGTAGATAGTTATGAAACCAAGACAGGCAAACTGAAAATGGCAGATGTACACTGAATACGAGTACTGGGGATGTTGTTACTGGAAGGGTTCCTACTTATGACTTCAGTGAACTGCTGGAGTCGATAACTTCTGTGCTCTAACTTCTCTGAGTTTCTGCTTATTGTGCTTAAGATTCTTGAAAAGTAGAAATTTTATGCAGAGATTTTGTTTTAAAACTATAATTAGAAATATGTGCTTATATAGACTTCGTAAAGGTCCAAGTAGCATACATGTGCTTTTCTTAAAATTGATTGTTTTCCGATAGTCATTTCTGTGTTTAACCCAAATATGTCCTTGAGAGTACATATTCTTAGCTACATTTCACAGTTTTACATTGCACCTTCCTTTTTGTGCTCTCTTCTTGTTCCTTAGATAATTATGCAGTTTTGTAATCTGCATATGGCCTCTTTTTTCAACTGAATAATTTGCTTCAAACAGAAAGATATTCGAATGTTGTAGCTGATATGAAAGGCTATATAATTATTGGTAACTAATTGTTTTATGATTGGTGCATTACTAGTCTGTTTTGAATGCTTTTAATACAGGTGTTTTGAAAGTATTCCATTAATTTGTTTCTATAGAATTGCACTAGGGGACCTCTGAAGATGCATAGAATTATTCCACACTGTTGCTAGCTCAGTGTGAGAACATGTACTTCTGCTTGTGCTGCTCTGTATTTTCTGCTCCTCTTAAAAGATAGCTGACAAGAACTGTTTAAAAATAGCAGGCCAAGGGCAGGTGACAAAATGTCACACAAGCAGCACCTGGTCCAGTGACAGCCTGGAGGGAGGAAAAAACCAAACCCAGATGTCACAGATACGATTCTATTTCTGAAGCTGGTCAAACAGCAGAATTTCAGCTTCAGCAAAGGAAAAGAGAAGGGCCCATCCAAGCATTATGCATTCAAATTTTACTCTAGTTTTTTCATAGCAGTTCCCTTTTTTCAATTACAAGTATTAGTTTAGAAGTATAGATTATTATATACACCTTTTCTCTTTACAAGTAATACCTGTAACGTCACGCTCATTAATATGCTGTTAAGGAAAAGGGAATTAATGTCAATCTGGCAAGGTTTCTGAAGTATTTTAGCACAAGCTTATACTAACTGAAGTAATAGCAGCTTTAATGTTTCTGCAGTGCCGGATTAATGTGAAAATATGTATAGGAGAATTATGTCTGTAAATAGGAAATCTGAAGTAGTTAATGATCTCTTTAAGAAGCTTTGATCACGGAGTTGGAAAGTAAAAATGGAAATTTTATTTACCTTCCTTCTGCCCCCACTTTTTTCTGGAGGTGCTGTTTGCTTCATAGTCTTATTGTGGCGGCACTTTTTTCTAAAAGAATGAGAAAATTATAATGTGAAGAAAATATGTATTTGCTTTTCTTAAACTGCTTGTGACTTAGTTTCAGAAGTGTACTGAAACTTCATGTTGCATCTGTTCAGAAAGAATATTAATTACAGCACAGCAGTCTCTCTGACTGGAAATAGAAGCCTTTAACTTATTGATAGGATCTAAAAATGTTGGAGAAGATTGGCTTTAGTTCTGCTTTGTCAAAGCTTCTTTGTTAAAACTTGGGTTTGCAGAAGTACGGAAGAGAATTTATACTACAGGAACTTAACAGTTATATTGGTTCTTCAGTATAGTGAGTGGGTCTTGAACTCCCACATTTGAGTGCCAATGTAGTGAAGAAATGTAAACTGCCTGCTTCCTTAGCTCCCAAACTTAACTGCAAATCTAGAGATACGGAGAGCATATGAAATTAATTACAACACTTGTTAGTAACTTAAGTTACTTACATTACTTAATTGAAATAAATTTTTATGTGGCTGTAATGATTCTTTTATATATTTTTCCAAACAAGGACTAGTATCAATGACAGCTTTCAAATTGTTTCAGGAGGTTTAATTAAGAAAGTCCTATTACAAAGTTTCTTCAGGGTAAATTTTTAATACTGCAGCTCAGTTAAATAGTATCTAAAACTAAAACTAATCTGAACAGTGGTAGAGTTGGCTCATTTCTTGCTTTGACAGTAAAAGTAGATTTCTGTGGACTATGTCTCCTTTGAAACAAAGTAACCGTGTGTGAATTTGTTCCCACCTCCAGTTCCTGAAGTCATCAGAGATCTTCTTCAGCCAACCTTTCAATTGTTAAATCTCACCTAAGAAAATTGGTACTATTTTGCATCTCTCTAGCATCCTGGAAACTGGCACCAGCAGAGTTCATTTGAATTTCATGGTGAAACTTCTGTATATGATGGTCCCATATTATGGGTCAAGAATAAATATTTTTCAAAGTACATACGAATGTACTCCATGAGAACAACACTCCCTCCAACCCAGTATCTTATCTCAAATAGCAAGCGATAGCAGATTCTTAGGGAAGATTACAAAAACAGGGTAAGCACTCTGTCTCCAACGATCTGTTAACTCGAGAGCTTCTGGTGTCACAGATAGTATGGAAAATAGTGATTTATTTTTACCAATTAAACTCCAATTAAGTGGAGTTTTTGTAATGCTGTACTCGTTATTTGAAGCCTACTATAAATGGCGTAACTGCAGCAAGGTTGAACTTTGAGGCCTTGTTTTGAAAGGGTAAACGTAATACTTTTCTAGTACAAAGCAAAGGGATGTACTAAAAAATAATTATTTCATCGTTTATTTTGTGATTTTCAGGATTTTAAGTACATAACACTAAAGGTACTATGGTGTTAAATATATTAAATGTGTGTTCTTGGGAAGTTGTCTTCAGTAGATGGAAGATTTGGTTACCCGGACTGTTCATCCCCTTAAGCAACTTTTCATATTAATAAATTTAATTCAGTTTTGAAGTAAAAACATTAAAAATAGCTTTTATTTACATTGCAGGGCGTATGGGAATAAACTTCCATCATCCAGGAACAGACAATATTATGGCTCTTAATAGTAAGTAGTTAATATCTAATGACTAATATTGTCATGTTGAATACTATTTCTTACATTTATTTTGTATGTATCTGTGCAGTCAGACATAAATATGTGTAATAATAACATTTGCATGGAAATTTATGTGCACTGTCTTAAAATTATTTTCATAAATCAATTATCTCTAATTTTATTGGTAGAATTGGTGATTCTTTATATTAGCTTTCTAATACCTTTATGTGTTCCACTGGAAGCTTCATAATACCTGCTATAGATAATATTGCAAAAACAATCTCTATTGTTCCCTCTTTTGTGGGGGGATAACATGTACGTATGTTAAATCTGTAACTTTAATTTCTGATGTCTCTCCAGACGTATTTCTTCTTGTTGGGATGAGTTGTTCCAAGTTTTGCATACAATTACATTGTCTAATGGAGTTTACTTTGTTGGTTTCCCTAAAACATTATGTAGAGAGGACCGGAGAGAATGTTTAGACATCTAAATGATGAGGAAAAAGCGTGGGGCTGAACTTCACTGAAAGGTTATTGCTTTTGTTTGTGTTGGAAAATAAAAATAAATAAATAAAAAATCCAGTCATGAACATATGCATTCAAAAACCTGCCAAAATGGATCTGGAAGCTCTAGAGACAGCCACTATCATGAAGGGGGGGGTGGGCTGGAGAGGGGGGTGTGTGTGTGTTAGGCACCACCAGCATAATGTAGAACTGAACTATGCAAATCAAAGCATAGTTTTTGCCATCTAATCCTAAGAAACGCTAACTATTTTGAAATGTCCGGGTTTGCTTACAATGTTGTATTAGAGGTGTTAGGATTAATTTACTAACTTATCTAAATTTTTTTGCCTTTGCCTTGTCTATATAAGTTACACTGTGTATAGTTGAAAACTGCAGGTTTTTAGAGTCTTAAAATTAGATTGTTTTTTGTGTAGTACCAAACAAAAAATAATTTATAAATATGAAGAACTGAAAAGTTGTAATGGACAAGATGCAAGGGTTTTAACATTAGGCTTTAAATATGGGCTTTTGGAACGTATAAGACTTTGTGCTCTTTTTCTTAGTTTTACACTGTTAATGATGAGGTGATATTTTGCAGAGTTTCTGTTGTCATAGCTTATATGCCCCATTTTCTTATAGGCACATGAAATTATGGGAAATCAAGTAATTAACTGGGAGAAATGCTCCATTTAATTAAAGACTTTATTAAAAGGGGAAGCTGGTCATGTGGGGGGGGGTGTGTGTGTGTGTATCTAAGTTCTACAAAGTACAGTCTGCTGCTGTTTGGCATGGATTCTGGTCTCAGAATGTATTTGTTGTTCTAAAGTGGGCATTTCAATAAGCTGATTGGAATAGTAATATAATTGTGAAGATGGAAGGTTATGATTGAATTTTGAGTTATTTTTAAAAATTGACAGTTAGGGAATACATAGCAGTATTTCTTATGAAGTCTTACAGAGATTTTTGAAAGACAGGAATGCAAAAAATGATACAAAAAGCTATACTATATACTGTACTATATCAAATCAGGGTTGTTTCATTTTGGGACAACTCATTTTTATCCTAAATGGATGAATATATTCTATTCTGATTTCTGTCATTGCTAGATAAACTTTAAAAGAAAAAAAAAGTTTCCTTTTTAATGGAAATAATATTTAAGAAAATATTTCTTCCTCCCTAATTCCTTTGAAATCTTTACAGCAGCTATATAATCTAATTGTTTATAAAAAATAATGATCCTTTGCAGCTATAGTCCTGGTATATGGCTAAAAGATTAGTATACGTAACTGAGGGACCTAAACAAAATACATTTATGCGTTTCCAGTATTTAAAATATTATAGGGTTATTGAAATATTAACTGCTTACAGACTTACATAAACCTGGAATCATAAATATGCAATTTACGCAAAATAGTAGTGATTGTTGTTTTGAATGAAATTCAGCAAAAATCAAAAGTCTGGATAAGTTCCCATATATTTTCCCTCTCCTGCATCTGTTCTCCTTCCCATTCTTTAGTAGGTGAAGCCACACCGTTTTTGGCCACACCATTCTAGCCCAGAAGCTAGAATTATTTTACTGTTCTTTGCTCTTAAATCTTTGAAGACTTGAGAATAAAAGCAAGTATTCAAGTACATAAGCTTAAAAATTACTTTTTGTGATTTAAATCCTCTTTTGTATGCAGCCAAAACTGAGAAATTCAGAACTATGTAGTTCCCATGTGATCCATTACCTTTGCCATGGGGAAATACACTAAGGAAAGTCTGTCCAAGAAGAAATATTCTTTCCTTGCTGGAATGGTTGTGGTTTGGGTTTAAAAAAATAAAATGAGTAAAATAAAATAAAAATTCCCCAAAGAGATTTCATCCCAGTAATTTTTGGAGCAATTTAAAGAACTTATGTAACTTCTTTAATTCATAATACTTGTCATATCTATATATAATTTCTGTGAAACCAAACACTGTCTGCTGAATCTGCAAATCCAACTTTCACATACTATTTATACTCATTGCTACATAAGCATTTTTCTCTTTTCCTGTGAAGACACAATAATAATCTTTAAGATTTATTACTGAAAGCTCAATTTCTCACTAACAGTTTACGCAATCTTTTGAAGCTGGAGACAGCATAGGTTCATGCCAACAGCAATGCAAAACTTTATGCATTGTAGGGAGAGTGGAAGTTTTCTGAGGGGTGTTCGTCTCTTTAGCTCTTTCTCATTCTTCATGGCAACACTTTCAACTGTACTTCAGCTGGTATCTCATTTATTAATTACAGCCTTTTGAAACTAGGGATTTTCCTGACTTGACTGTCTTGAGCTACTGTCTGTGAATGTTGAAGGGGATTGTTTGGTTTGAGGGAAAGTGTTACTTGTTTAGTTGGCAGGGCTTAGTGTAGAGCATACTACCACCATTTTGTTCATCATTGCGCAAAACTATAAATCACAATCATCTCAAAGCGCTGAGTTCTGAAATAATAAAATTAGTGAGATAGAAGAGATTACTTTTAAACGCATAATTATTATGAATCTCTTCTTGTCATTAATGACATTTTGCCTGTGTACGTACACAAACTGTTGCACATGTGTATAAGCATGTTTATATTGTAGAGGCGCTTCAAGTTCTCTATCAGAATTAGGCTTCTATTGAGGAATGCGATGTTCAAATATTCAGAGAGATCTTAGCATAATCCTAAAGAGCATTTAAACAAAAGGAAGATGCAAATATTTATATTTGAAACATTGTGCAAAGGGAGAAAGCTATAGCTTTTGTCTCTACTAGATCTAATTGAAGTTTCTTTAATTGAAATAGTGTTTTTAATCAAGTAGTGACATATGTTAACTTTTTAATGTCATTCATACTGAGCTAAACAGTAGAACAATTTTTATAAACTTTTATCTATAGCACCTTATTAAATACAACTGATATTAAATACAACTGATACTTTCTAGGGGAAATGTGGCATAAAATGAATTATTGATTTTATTTATGTAAATTCATGTAAAGAGAAACCATCTATTGATGATACTTTTAGTAGATGTTTGCAATACTAATTAAAAGTTGTTTACAATACTAAGCAAAACCTGAAAATAAATTAATTTGCTGTGCCAAAATTAACTCAAAGGTATCTTCCATCCCCTTCTCTTGCTAGTATTCATTCCCATTTGCAGTCATACATTTCTGCAGCCATTGCTTCTGTTTGGGGGTCACTGGATGTTCTCTTGAGTTAATATGTGCTCCTTTTTAATTAGCTATATAAATAGGACTAAATGATCAGCATGAATACACAGTCACCTATGTGCTAGGTAGTGAGCTATCTTTAATGCTTCTTGTGAACTCCAGAAAGCTGACAATAAACTTTAGTGGGAGAGAAGTATAGCAGGTGAAAAAGGGAGATGGGGAATAAACGAGGGTGGTGATCTTTCTAAGGAAGCACTGAACTGTATTGCTGGGATCCCAAATGAACTTCTCTAAAATGAGTTTAGACTAAAGGCAGTTAAACCAACAAATGAGAAAAACCCCTTCATGAAGTGCTGGAATTTTGTTTTTCCTAAAGCTCCTCTGTACAGTGACTTTGCATTGCTGTTGGGCTTCAAATGTTCCATTTGCTTCCAATGTTCATTCTTGTCTCATATGAAAATGTGTCATCTGTGAGGTCTGGTACTGTTTGCTCTCCATCTGACTGTCTTTTCTTCTTTTCATTAGTGTCATTTAGTTCTGTTTGTTCTGGATAAAATAATTTGAAAAATACATTAAGGCAAGGGTTTGGGGCACCTCTTTAGATGTTTGTGTATAGATTTTGTTTTTGTTTTATTAATATAGATAATAATTATGTGGGGAAGTCGTCATGCCATGACAGAAAGTGTAACGGCAGCAAAACAATTTCATCTTTTATTTTCGTGCTTCTATTGGTTTTAAAATTGCCTTGTCTTCTTGAGAGCTATCTTACTTGGCTCTTCCTATATTCTGATGTATTGTTTTTAAACACATAGAGTTTTTAGATTTAAACAATTTGCTCAAATAGCATTTAATATTTAAATCTTTTGCCAATGCTATTAATACACCTTGAAATGAACTGCTCTGAGTAGAAAGTTTATTGAATTATTTTTGTCTTGCAAAATCTTGGGTTGGCAGTTTAACAGCTATTAAAAGCTTGGGTTTTGTAGTGATAATACTCTGGGAAAATGTGCGGCTAAATTTTGAGAGGCATCAATCTCTTCTAATAGTTTGGTACCTACCTATAGGAATTTGCTGAGCTCTTTAGCCCAATTGCCAAGTCGGGTTACTAATGTGTTACTAGCTTATTAACATGTAAGGAATAATATAAAGGAATGAAAGACACTGAGAGAGCTAATAAGGTTTGCAAAACTAGACCTGATTTAATTGTGAAGAGATCAGAGTTTATTTAACTGGAGGGAAAAATTGAATGAAGTGTGACATAGCAAAGGCAGCGGGGTTCATAAGAGTCTCAGAGTGTGTGAACTGTCACTTCATACATAATCTTGTTAAGTTT